CACACACACACACACACACACACACACACACAATAAATAAATAAATAAATAAATTTAAAAAAAAAAAGAAAGGAAAGCTTACTAAAATAACAAATTCTCAGGCTTTTACCTTTGAGATTCCAGATGGGGACTAGGAATCTGTATTTCTAAAATTAAGTTTCCAGGGCTAGGAAGACAGTTTGGTGGTCTAAGCACTTGCCTGGCAAGTACAAGGACCCAAGATCCACCCCCAATACTGCAACGCAGGGAACACTATGTGGCCCCAAAACTGGGTGTGGTGGCCCAGTGCTGGGAGGGAGAAACAGGAGGATCACTACAAGTCTGAACTGTGTAATGAGATCCTGTATTAAATAAATAAATGCATAAAAAGTAAAAATAAATAAAAATAAGTATCCAAAGGCCTGGGGGAGAACAGTGGTAGAACACTTGACTAGTTTAGATTCCTCAAAGTGGAATTTTTTTTTTTTTTTTTTTTTACGGGGGTCAGGGATTGAACCCAGGTCCTTGTGCTTGCCGGGCAAGCACTTATTTTACTGAGCCATCTCCCTGACAAGCACCTGACTAGTATGCATGAGGCCGTAGGTTCAATCTCCAACACCCAAAATAAAAGTATTCCAGTTGATTCTTATGGTCAGTTAAGTATGTAAAAACACTGGCCTACTTTCTGTGAATTTCCTCACCAAAAAGTCAGCTGTAAGACTAGGGTTGGGTCAGGGATATAGCTCAATGGCACAGAGCTTGCCTAGTATAAGCAAAGTCCTGGGTTTGACCTTTGGTACCAGGACAGGCACAGGATTGGACGTTTTATTTCTGAAATGTTTCAAAACCTCAAGCCACTTTGCTCCTACTCTTCCTTCAAGAGTTCAAACGAACAGTAAGTATTAGGAAATGTTTCCTGCTGAGTCAGTGCTGTCTAAAAGCAAAATTCTATGAGAAATTGTGGGTTATACCACACCTTGTTATTTTCCTCTTCAAACTCATCACCACAGTTATCAGCCATAGTCTTGGTAGGAAGACAGGCGGAATGAAGAAGTCCTTAGAAGAAAAGTTTTGCCTTTAGATTACTCAGTACTGCAAACAAAACACACACACACACTCAAAAAAAAAAAAAAGAGAAACTCAAAAAACAAGGATTGGTGGGGTAGCTCGTTGGAAGAGGTCTTGTCTACCTAACATGCAGGAAGGACATCAAAGCATCACAAGCAAAAAAACAAACGTGGAAAAAAACAGGAACCCCAATCAGACTGTGAGCAGAGGAGTAACAGGAAAAGGTAACACAGCTGGTTAAAGGAAGATCCTACAATCTGGCAAACTGTGATTTTTCCCTCTCCTTCCTTAAACAGAATAGGAACAACGACAAGTGAAGTAACTTGACTCAGAAAGTCAACATGCGCTATTATAAACTCTGACCCTTTTGAAACGACACACCAATCCACCCTGCTCGATTTGGTCGGACTATTTCTTTTCTTTCTTTCCACACTCTTACCTTGGCGTTCTGGGGTTGGAGTACAGATACTTGTAACCTCTTCAGAGTCGTTAATCTCTAGCCGCTCATCGTATGTTTGGTTCTCAACAATCTTAGTCTAAGCAAAATAAGATGTGATTACCTAGCATGGAGCCCTCGGCCACAAGTATGGGTTCCTCCTCCTCACCCAAGAGGCCAGTTTTCCATAAAACCTCTATCCCCACCCAAACTTTCCCCAGGGCTTCTTGGCCTCAAGTCCAACAGTTAAACCACCCAGCGACAGCCTTTATTGAGGAACTGCCGGCAGGCTGGCTGGGAATCGACAGCCAGCTTTTCCACAGCTTCTCCAAAGCTGGCTTCCTACGATGCCTCTCTCTTGGGCAAGGTCAGTTTTCTCAAAGCCGGTGGGGTTTCTCAGTGAAAACCGGAGAGATTTCACGAGAGCTGTCTCTGCGGCGGGGGACCTGGGACCGGGTGTGCCGAAGACAGTCTGTCTCGGGGTCTCACCCACTGATACCTACAGCATCACCCATCTCCACTGGTTTTGCTGGTCGGGGTCCACTTAGGTTGCTTGGGGAGTAAAGGAAGCAGGAATTTGGTGGCGGAAGGGGAAGGGAGGAAGAACTATCCTGGAGACGGCAAGAGCAGTCCTCTCAGAGCGCGGACCCTTTCTGCGAGGGCAGTACGAATTACCTGGAGCCCCTCTGAATCCGTCTCCGCCAAATGGAAAGAACCCCAGCCGTGGACTGGGGTTCCACTCCAGTCTCGGGGTAGGATACCACGGGAACCTGACTTAGAGCAACCCGCCAGTTGCCAGTCGCTAGGTAAACACTGGAAACGAATCGCGAGACCTGGCTTTATTCTCGCGAGACCTGCATTTAGCTACTCGGTAGGCGCGGCCAATGTGGACTCTCTAGGCGCAAGAAAGCCGAGACGACCCAGATAAAGCTTCTCTGGGATCTCTGGGCGGCCAAGTCGCCTGTGTCTATGGTTTCAGTAACTGTGTCTGTTGCGCCATCTAGCTGTCGAAGGGGGCAGAGCCAGCCGATGAATTGTGGCTCTCCAAACAAACTTGGGTTTTTCACCATCACTTGGGCCTGCAGTTTCTCTCAGTCTCATCAGAATTTATTTATTTATTTATTTATTTATTTATT